ATTTTAGGATGGATGCGTCAAGATCTCTTGCAGCCTCTGGAATCATTTCATTACCTCTTCAATTCCAGCTCATTTTGATTACAGCTTACATTTATGGACCAAAGAAAGTTCGAGGTTCTATAGGGGAACAGGACACAGTCACTTCTATTCCCAGGGATTTAGAAAATCTCTGGGTATTATTTTTTTTTAAGTGCAAGTAGATATAGACCTACTCTAACTCTGGGCCTCTTGATGGCCAGTATTACTCTAGTTTTGAGTATCATACTAAAAAATGTCAAAGGAAAGGAAGCACTCTATTCCCCAGAGGTAAGCAAGGCTGCATTCTCTGGCATTCTTGTATTGTGCATTTTGCATTCTCTGGCATCTCATTTCTGCATCGGTCCCTCCTTTTCCTGCCCATACTTTTATTGTCTAACTCCTGCTTGTTCTTTGAGATTTTTCTGCACAGAGTATTTCTTGGTCACCTCAGCCCATATTGATATCTTTATCCTAGAACAGTTATGTGCAGAATTGGCTTTGAGTCCCAGCTGGGTCTCTGTTTGTGCATTGTAAGGCAAGTCACTTCACTCCTCTGTCTCTGTTCCTTACAGAATGGGGAAAATGATTGTACTTACTTCAGGAGACTCAGCTCAGTGTCATCACACATGTGAAGCCTGTAACTCAGAGGCAGGCATATAATAAGTATTTAATAACTAACAGCTAATTATTATTATTATTATCATTGTCATCATCATGATCATCTTCATGAAATGCACATCTGGTCATCTCATTCTCTGACGTATGCATCTTCACTGGCTCACAGTTACCTACATGGTCAAATCCAAATTTCTTAACTTGACATACATTCTCTGCCCTCCCATCTACTCTTGCAGTTGCAGTAATTTCTCCTATATCTTCTCTCCCTCCTCCCTCCCTCCCTCCCTCCTGTCTCTCTCTCTCTTTCTTCTTTCGTTAGTCTCACTCTGTCACCCTCCTTAGCCTCTGGAGGAGTTGAGATTATAGGTGTTTACACTCTCTTTAATGCTCCCATAATTTCTCACACCCTTAATACCCCAATCCCCATGTCATGGTTCTCACTGTTCCTTAAAACTACTGGAGTTTTGATTGCTTTAAGCCTTTATGGGAACTTATCCCTCTGTCTGGAGTAGCTGTCTCCTGAACCCAGCTTTATAGCACCTTTCTCTATGATGCCTTTTCCAAATTCCTGCCACTAATTCACTCATTCGTTCCAGAAGTATATGTTGAATATCAACTGTGTGTCAGGCACTACTGTAGGGGCTTAGGCTTTAGCAGTGAGCAAAACTATAAAGGCATAAAAATTCCGATTCTCATGGAGCTTATGTTGCTAAGCAGTTAATTTCAGCAGTTCGGTTTAACAAACATATGTTGTCCACATACAATGTGCCCAACACCGTGCTAAGCACTGGGGGTATAAAATTGAATTAAGACTTAATCCCTAGCCTCAAGGCTATAGTCTGGAGGGAGAAGACCCCTAAACAGATAATTTCCATGCATGTGGTAAGGAGCCTGATGAAATTAAACCCAGGGTTTTGTGAAAGCACAGAGGAGGGTCACCTAGTACAATTATGGGGAGGGGGAGAAAGGGATGGGAAGATTTTTCTGTAGAAAGAGATAGAGCTGTGACTCAAAGGAAGACTGAGTATTGAAGGTAGAAAACAGAGTTGCCACCTGAGCAAGACATGATGTATGAATATCTGTAGATAGTTTGGGGATGCTGGAGTTTAAATTTTAAGGTGCTGAGTGGCAGGAGCAAGGCCTTAAGGAGTAGGTCAGGACCAGAACCTGAGGGTCCTTGTGTGTCAGTACTAGGGAGTTGGAATTTCTTTATTTCTTATTTTGTAGAAGCAGAGCCCTGCTCTGTTGCCCAGGCTGGAGTACAGTAGTGTGATCATAACTCATTGCAGCCTTGAACTCCTGGGCTCAAGGAATCCTCCTGTCTCCCAAATATCTGGGACTATAGGCACACACTACCATGCCTGGCTAATTTTTAAAATTTATTTTGTAGAGATGGGATGTCACTATGTTATCCAGGCTGGTCTGGAACTCCTGGGTTCAAGCAATTCTCCTGCCTTGGCCTCTCAGAGCACTAGGATTACGGGCATGAGCCACCATGCCTGACCAGGAGCTAAAATTTTTGTCATATAAAACTTGCGTATGCTCAGGCTCACCTGTGGAAATTATTTAACATCAACCAAAACCAATAAATCTGATGCTCAGGGCCCACCTCAGAGCCCCTGAATCAATCTCTGCTGGTCTGTATTTTTAATAGCTTAACAGGCTCGTAATACACTCAAGAGCTTGAGTACTTTGACTTTGGGGAGCTATTAAATGTTTTTAAGTAGGGGCCTGGCAATCAAACTTTGTGTTTTGGAAAAACCAGAATCACGCTGACAGAATGGATTTGAGAGGAAGACTGGAGGTAGGGAGACAAGCCAGGAGACAGATTTTTCGGAGAGTGATGAAGAGGGCATGGCTTAAGATCCAGTGGCTATGGAGATGGACAGATGGATGAGGGAGATGGAATCAAATGCTATTGAGGAATTGGAATTTGAAGGACTTGGTGACTGACAAGATGTGGGTGCAAAAGCAGGAGGAGTTAGCGGTGATTTCCAGGTCTCTGACTGTGACCTTTATATAAATAGTGATGTGTAGTATGGCTACCAACTAAGATTATTCCCTACAAGATCCCTTTTTCTATCCCTCACACTACTTGGCAAGAACCAAGCCCAGAGAAAGTGCTTAATGAATGTGAATCAAACGTGGCTGAAGAGAGTCAAGACCCTTATCTCCAAACAAGCTTTTCTTTTTTCTTTTGTGCAATGGCTGAAATTCCAACTTTAGGGCAATCTTTTTTTCTGTATGTCTTATTCATTGCTGTAATTTCTTGGAATTTAGTCTCCACAGTGGCTGTGAAAGGAATCTTCAAATATATATATACATATATATATATTTTTTTCCATTTTATAAACTTTTTTAATCATTATTTTTTATTATGATTTTTTGGGAGATATATATATATTTTTGAGACTTTGTTATGTTGCCCAGGCTGGCCTCAAACTCCTGGCCACAAGCAATCTTCCTACCTCAGCCTCCCAAGTAGCTGGGACTACAGGTGTGTGCCACTGCGCCTAGCCAAAAGATTTGTTTATATTGAATAGAAAGTGGTAGACTTTCTTCTTTCTTTTTCTTTTCTTTTCTTTTTTTTTGGGGGGGGGGGAGTTGGAGTCTCACTGTTTTGCCCAGGCTGGATTGTAATGGCACACTCATGGCCACTGCAAGCCTTGACCTGCTGGGCTCAGGTGATCCTTCTGCCTCAGCCTTCCAAGTAGCTGGAACTACAGGCATGCGCCACCAAGCCTGGCTAATTTTTCTGATTTATTGTAGAGGTGAAGTCTCGCCAAGTTGTCCAAACTGGTCTCAAACCCCTGGGCTCAGGCAATCCTCTCACCTCTGCCTCCCAAAGAGCTGGGATTACAGACATGAGCCACGTACCCGGCAAAGTGGTAGACTTTCAGTATGTTTTATTTAGCTAGTTTATGCTTTTTTTTTTTTTTTGAGTT